GAATATTAAAAGGAGAGAATACACCCAAGACACTTGTATTTGAATTTAATTTAATTTTTTTTTTTTTTTCAAAAATAAAACATACGTTAAATAACCGCCAATAAATTTTCATTTTTTTTTTATATTTATTTAAAATTTATGTGGCTATATATATATATATATATATATTATATTTGTGATGGTGGAATAGCCAGTTGGAAATTATGAATAGCAATCAACAGCAATCGTTTACTTGCTTTTTATTTATTTTGCAACAATTGAAATCATAAAACAAAAAAAAAATAACAAAAAAAAAAAATCATTTCTTTCTCTTCTACTCCCATTTATTTTTTGTTCTAAGTGATTTCTTCCTTATGTTTTTCTTCTTTCTTCTGCATTATGATAATTTGTTGGTATCTTCATTTATTGTTGTTATTGTTTTTTTCATCATTTAGTATTTTATGCTAAAGAAAAGGCGGAGTTGTTGGATTTTAAATTTTAAAAATGAAAAAAAAAAAATATTGAAATTTTTATTTTGTTTTTTGATTTTCTGTTATTATTATTATTGCTTTAAATTCTAAAAAAAAAAAAAACAAAAAAAATTTATTTGAGAATTCTCAAATTCAATCGATAGATATTTTTTGAGCTCTCTGTATTTTTCTCTCAGAACAAAAATTTTGAAAAAAAAAAAATCAAAAGACTTAAGAGAGAAACTTCTTTTTTAGAATAATTAAATTCTTAACTTAATTTTATATTATTTATGTTTGTGTTTTGTTTTAAATTTTCTCACACAAATACATGCATATATTTAAGAATTTTATGGCAATAGTGTTATTAATATTTAAGTGTGTGTTATTTTGTATTTAAAGAAAATATTATATTTATTTAGTAAGCAAATTTTTCTAATAAGAAATTTTTCTCAAGAAAATTATTTGATTTTTTAATTTAAATTTTTTATAATCGGATTTTTATAAATTAAATTGAGAATTTCATGTTTATCCTTCCATTTCATGTTATTCCTTGTAATTTTTTCTATTGCAATTTCTATTGAAATGTTCAGTTGTTTTTGTTACCAAAAAGAGTATTGTTTTCTTTTTTTTAGAAATAATATTAAAACAAGGATAATTGTTTGGGGAAGCTTGCTTTTCTTAATCTATTCCTCTTTATGATTTCTTAATTTACGAAGTCTATGAAATTTTTTTTACTAAATATTTAGCAATGAGAACGAAATGCTTTTAATAAATTTATGTTTCTTGAAATATTGAAACCTTAAAGGTCAACTAAAGGTCAAATGTAAAATTTGAGTACACACGAGCAATATATCATCATTTAGCACGGTATATTTCTTGAGATGTAACCCTTTATTTAAACAAGATTATTATTTATTTTGAGAAGCAACGGGTTCCTCTAATGTTTTCTTTAGCGGGTTCGTCTAAAAAAAAAAGAAACATTCTGTTTTAGCTCAATTTAAATAATTCTATTTCTAACCTTAAATTCGGTAGGGTACATGTATACTATATACAATATTTTTCTTTCGGTTCTTTGACAAACTGGCCAGTTGTTGGAATTTCGCCCTAAAATATGCTATTTTTTATATTGTTCAAATTAAAATAAGAATTCAATTTTATTGCTATTCATTAATCTTTAAAAATTAAGAGAAGAAATTAAGTTTTCATTTCCAACATATAGAATATTATACCTTAATATAAAATTTATTTCATATGAAAATTTTATTGCAAAAATTCCGTCGGAAAATGTACACTCAAAATTTTTGTATTCGTATATCTCTTGAAAGGTACAAATTTTCCAATTATAATAATAACATATTTAAATCAATTAATCATCATTCAAGGTTTTTGACATTTAAATATATATCTTTCATAATATTGTCATAATAGTATGTTGAATATATTGGGAAAACAAAAACGTGTGTATTCAAAAAATTCATTCACTTGTCATTGTTTTCGTTTTTTTTTTTGTTTTGTCTTTTATATTTAAATTTTTTCTCACATATTAAAATATTTATATAAGTATACATTTAGTACATATCTATATATTTATTTATAAACAAATTATAATATACATAATTATTTTACTTGTTTTTTTTTTTGTGTTTTCTTTCCTGATTCCTGATCCCAATAAAGCAACCATTACAAATACCATAAATAAAACTTAAAGTTAAGTACAAAAAAAATATAACGAAAACAATTAAAATACTCAGAAAAAAATAAAACAAGAAGAGAAAAAAAGAAACGAAAGAGCATACAAAATCATTTTAAAGTCGTAATTTACTGGTTTTGCCAAATTGAATGAAATGCTGGTATGCCCACACATTTTTTTTTTTTTAATTATTTTTTTCCTTCTCATTGTTTTTTTTTTTTTGCTATGGTTACTTTATCTTAAACATTTAATTGCTTTTACCTTTAATACTTTTAATACACTATATATTTACTAATAGAATAATGTATAAGCACTTATACATTAACAAAAAACTAGAGTATATTGTATAAAACCATATAAGCATCTTATAACAACAACAACAAAAATATAAACTCTCTTTTATGAAATTTTCTCATTTTTTAATTATTATTATTTTTTATTCAACCTACGATTATAATATTTAATTTATATGAGATTTAATGATCATACACGGTGAAATAAATTTAAAAATTAATTTTAGAATTACAAAAAATAAAATGCATTTTCAAATTGAATCGCACTCTATGGAAAAATTTAATAGATTAAAAAATTTATTAATTTTAATATTTAAAAATTTACACTACTAAAATAATTATAAGAATATTGAATATTAATTTTAATTAATAATTTAGTATTGAAACTAATAATAAATAATTGGCTGAAAAATAAGAGAAAATAATATTATTGTCATAATTTTAATGTGCATTATTAAATAAAAAATTTAATACGATCAGGTGAATTTTTATATTATAAAATATTTTCTCTTCTCTCATTCCTATATTATCATAAAATTATTGTATTTGTGTCAGAGTTTGTATTGAATAATACAAACAGCAATAGTAACAGCAACAATAATTTTAAATTGAAAGAGAGCTCTTTATATATATATAATTTTGCAAAAATACAAAATAAATTACTCTCTTACTCATTGTCTTCTTCTTAATTCTCCAATTTACTCCAATAATAATAATTCTCTTTTGTTTTCTTCTCCAATACTTTACTTTTCAAATTTAAGATAACAAAATATTAAAAATTCTAGAATAGATTTTTTTTTTTTGTTTTACAGCCGGTAGTTGGTGTACCTATAATATAATATACTGATTAATCATAATAAATATGAATATGTACAGAAAACTACGAGTATTATAAATTATGATCAGTAAATTTAAAAAGTTAATACGTGAATACACACATACAATTTCTAATAAATGTATAGCGAAATTTAAAAAAAAAATAATAAAAATAGTTCGGGTCCATTATTATAAATTAAATACTGAATGAATTCATATAAAAGATATTCTAAAAAAAAAAAAAAAACAAAAGCAAGAGTAAATAACAGCAACAACAACAAGTGAAATAGTGTAAAACTAATACAGAAGCAGAGAAAAATTTTCTTCTACACCAATTTATTATTGTCTTTTAACAATGAAATTCAAATAAATATTAAGGAAAAGTAGAATAAAAATAAAAAATAAATAGGAATGGGTACTCAAATATTAAAAAATAACAAAAAAAAAAACAAGAAAATTTTCTAAATTCAAAATTGGAAAAAAAAAAACAAAAATAATAAAATAAGAGAGAATATAAGAATATTATAAAAAAGAGCGTACACACATTCATACACGTGCATATTATGATGCGGAGAGAGAAGATTATTTAAGAGCATCATACAAGTTACTCTCTGTGTAAGGAGCATGCATCACTATGAAAAGAAAAATATTGAAAGAAAACAAAAAAAAAATATTGAGAATTTTTTTTTTTTTATTTTTCTTGTTCTTATTATTGTTTTTCTTATTTGTTATTTATTGAACATCAAATAACATTTTTACCTTGTGGTGCACGTTTTTATTTTAACTGATACAATTTTTTTTTGCTATTTTGTTACCTATGTGTACCTGTGTTACCTGTGTATTAAAAAAATTTATATTGGTTTATTTTTTGTAAATTTTTTATTTTAATTTTTTCTTGATTGTGCTTTTACTCTTTATTTTAAGTATTTTTACTCTTATTGTTGTTGTTGTTGTTGTTGTTATTATTATTTTGGTTTTCTCATATATGTAGCATATTATGTTATTTAATAACAAGCATTTTTATTTGTTGTGTTGAACAAAAAAAAAAAATTTTTTTTTTTTTGTTTTGTATTTTTTCATATTATTTTCATTGCTTTTCATTATATGTGGTGTTGTATCAAGTGTGTGCGCTATTTTCTTTCAGAAGGTCATGGTTAGATATTGGTGATCTCGATCAGCATCGGACAGTATTAGTTGATCAGTTTGAAGAAATGGGTCTTCTTCTTTTCAAATCGCGGAACATTACAGATAATTGATATATGAAAACTTGTGTGTTTTTTTTTTTGTTTTATTTGAATTTCGTTTTTTAAAAGAAAAAAAAATATTTTTTTTTTTTTTAATTCGTTTAATTATACGAAGGATTTTATTTGGGATTTTTATTTTTCATATACATATATATATATATAAATATATGTATATAAATTTGTATGTAATTTATTATTTATATATTTTGTTCAATTTATTTCATATTCTGAACAAATATTGAAAATATTAAATATTGTTCTATATATAATATTGGAAAATGAACATTAAATTAAAATAAAGAGAAGAATAAATAAAATAAATTTACAAAAAAAAGGAAGAAAAATTATTAAAAAAGTGTTAACAAATTAAATTCCAAATTACATTTTCAAATTATATAACTTTGATTGACTAGATTTTGTACAAGAAATACTCATTTAATAATACTTTGAATTTTGATAAAATTGAATGAAACTTTAAATTACAAAAAAAAAAAACAAAACAGAAAAATAAAAATATATTTTGATTTTTAATTCATGATTTTATCATTCAAATAATTGTGATTAATTATTAATTAAAAAAAAATATTACTTAATTGAAAAATAAAAAAAAAAAACAAAAATGGAAACGTGTGTTTTAATACCACAAGAATTTTCATTAGCTCTAGCAGCTAATGATATTAATGATCAAAGGATAACTGTATGGAGTACATGTAAAATACAACAGGGACAATTTTTTTATCCATTTCAAGGTACAATACGTATTGATACACTGGATGTTATGAAATATTTAGATGATGAAGATGTAAGTAATTAATATTTATTATATTTATTAATTTTTGAAATTTTAAATCTAATATTTTTCAATTAAATTTGAACACATAGAATTTAATTTTTAAGCGATATAATAAATTAAAATTTAATTTAAAGTTTCTAACTTGAGTCTTTTGAATATTTGTATGAAAGTTTATTTCATACATTGCAACCGTCATACAAATTGTATTGTAAATTTTGCTTTGTTTTAATAGGAAGAATCAAAATTTGGAAATTGAAAAATCTTACGAATTCTGTTTCATGACAATTTAATGGCATTCAATTTCTTTTACCACAAAAAGCCTATGCATTTTGATGTATAATACTTTTATTAAATTTTGAATAGATCGAACAAAATGTATGAACAATGTTTGATATCTAAAGACAAGCGAAATATTGTTTTTTTTTATTTTTAATGGTATATGTTAAAATTTTTTTTTGTAGTTAAAATGGTAAAATTAATTGGTTTAATATATTTTATTTTTGAATCTTCAAATCAAAATTAAATTAATATTGAATTTGATGAAATTGTTTTGCGTTACAAAATAAATTGAAGAATATCAATAACAATCCAGTCAAATTTCTTATATTGACTTGAGTATGACTAAAACGTATGACCAGTCAGTAATAAAATGTTCAAGTAATGTGAATAATGTAACTTCCATTTTATTTATTACAAATTAAAGCAAAAAATCAGCTATATTGAAAAAAAAAAATTAATTTTAAAATTATTTTGATCAGTTTTTTAATTAAATTTGAATTGAGCGACACAATAAATAAAAATTTCATGATTTTGAATTCTCAAGTTTTTCACTTGAGTCTTTTGAATATTTGTATGAAAGTTTATTTCATACGTTCAGCTCATAATACAAATTGTTCGTGAATTTTACTTTGTTTTAATAAAGAAGCAAAATTTGGAAATTGAAAAATCTTGAGAATTCTGTTTCATGAGAATTTAATGGAATTTCCTTTCTTTTTTCACACAAAGCCTACGCATTTTAATTCGAATAATAATTCTAATCTATCCTAGATTAAAAATTTTTAAACTCATATTTTAATCACATACCTTGCCAAATTTGCATTTTTTACTATATTATGTACAAATAATTCTCACCAGTTTAATATTCAATGCACGTATTCAAATCAAGGGAGAAAAAAAGTTCTCATTGTCATGCTACATTACACTTAACCGTTTTATAACTATCTTAACAAATATTTAAAGAAGAAATGAATAAGTGTTTAATTTACATTGAAATTTTCCAGTAAATCGTTTAAAATTTTAATAAATTTAAATTTCAATGAATAGCCTTTGAAGGACGTTTAACCAAGCAAAAATTTTTAATTTTTAAATTGAATTATATTTACATTTTAACGGTTACCAATTATAATTTTAACCGCAAATATTTCTATTCTTCTTTCCCTCTATCATAAAATCAAACTTGTATGAATTTTTTATTTATGATCCTATTGGGTGACCAGATAACATGATACATTAACACAAAAATTTTTATTCAAAAAGTGAACATTAAAATTTCAATGGGTCTTACACTTGTTCGGTTTTCTTTTATAAATGTATAAAAATTTAAACCAGTAAAAATAAGAATATCTTCTTCCCTATTCCTGGCCTCTTTTAAGTACCCTAATATGAAATTCCTATATAAGTTATTAAATAAACACTTGTTAATAAAGAGAGGGAGAGAGAAAGAACCCTTCATAAGAAAATTTTCTTTCAAGATTTGTTTTTAGTTTTTTTTAACACGCTAAGAAATTTTTTTGTATTGTAATCCCCTTTTGTTATAAACTCTAATGCAATAAGAGATTCATGTGCAGGTAAAATTTACTTCCTTATCATAATAGATGAAATTACCATCATAATATTAACAAACAGGTAACAATTTGTTGCACACATACCATACATGTTTGTTGTAAATGCGAAATTGTATTAAAAATTCATATTTAGGGTTGGTTTTGTGTTAAATTGTTTCTTACTCTCCCTATCACTCTCACATATACAAAGTATGAGTAATGAATTCATTTTATAAAATATGTGAACTTCCTACATTTTAAATTGTATACATTAAAAACGGAATAAAGACAAGGAACAAGTGAATTAGACAATCAACAAACAAAGAGAAGAAGGTATGAAAAAATAAGAAGAAAATAATAAAAATAGAAATTATGATGGTTAGTAACCGTGAAAACCAAATATACTTTTAAAAAAAAAAAAAAAATTATTCATGTAATAAAATTAACCCTCATCTAATTGTTATAAATTTACTATACCTGTTGTAACCTGTTGAATTTTTCCTTATTTCTCTTTCACTTATAATTATAAACATTTACAATTTGAATATCGTGGGAATTTTCCCATCAATCCAGCATATTATTGTTGAAATATGAAAAAAGAAAGAGAGAATGTAGGAAAGGAGTTTTTATATATGCTAATTTTGTTCCTTCACTTGTTAAATCATCTTCATCAACAATGTCATCATTTTATATACAAAACAACAATGTTTGTATAATTCATTAATTATTGAGTTCCTTGAATAATAACGAGTAACCTTCATAATATAAGAGATTACTGAATTTTATGTTTATTGCCGCATTTAAAAATATTCGGAATGAAATTCAATAGGGGTGAAATAATTATTTACGGTGACTTTAAATTACAAAGTTAAGTAATAATCCTTAAAAAAACAAAAAGCAAAAAACGGAATTGGTAAAAAGGATATTTTTTCTTAAGAAATTTTCCCAGTGTTAGAATTAACAAAATTTAGAATTAGATTAATAAGAGTTTATGATCCTTTTATACAGTCATTTCCTGTATTTTTGTTACTTAAGTACAGAAAATGTAAAGGTTTTTGTTATAAAACACTTGAATATTATTTTGCTTGCATGACACTATTTGAACTATTGTGATACTATTTGAACTTAAGTAGTTGTGTTAGGATTACCCGTAAAATAAGGAAGTAAAAAAAAAAGATTAAAAAATTATAAAAAATTTTTTTTTTCTTTTATGATTTTATTCTTCTTTGTTTTTCTATTCTAAGGGTTTTGAGAAAATTTCATAATTATGGAGTGGAGGGGTGTTTAAAGAAGATTTTTGTACAAAGTTACTCCTACATTTTCATAATTTTTTCAAAGTCAAACTTTCTGTTATTTTTCAAAGTGATTATGTTTTCATTTTTAATGATTATCTGAGGGTTACATTGTCTTTTGTTATAGGCAAGTAGGGGGTTCTATACATACATACAAATGTGTTTATTTTATTTTATACAGAGAAAATTGATTTTTTATAATTTAGCACTTAATTGTGTGTTAAAATAGTTAAAATTTATTTATTTGTCATTTAAACAAAATATGCAATTTTAACAGGTGAATTAGAGGAGAAAAAAGGGCTTCAACTCACAGACCTATTTTAAAAATTTTTATTACTTTAAATTAAACTTCTTCACATTTGAAAGAATGTTGACTAAATAGAAACGACACCATTTTGAATTCATTAAGATAAAAATTGAATTCGAAATTTAAGGTAAAAGTTAATTTTAAAATTAAGTTTAGACACAAAAATTGACAAAATTTCGATGGATGCTTTAAAAATTCGGATTATCGGATTCGATTTAGCAAATATGAGTTTTAAAATTTAGAATTAATTTCTCATATATAAGAAGTTCGAACTTTTTATATACATATTCGGCAATAATTTTAAAATTCATGGATTTATATTAAAAAATTTTTCGACTGAATGTGGATCTGAGTATTTAGTATCAGATTATATAATAAAAGCCAGAATAACAAAATTGAACTTAAGGGTAAATGTTGCCTGGAGCTGCAAAAAACCACAAAATTCTAATCTTATTTTTGAAAAATTAAAATTAAATTTATTTATTAAATTCCAATTCAGTTTATGTAAATGTATGTAGACAGACCCGGTTCTATCTTATTCGGTAAACGATATCCGGTGAGTGCGCCCCCTTTTCTTTTTAAGAAATCAGTAATATGCAAAAAACATTAAACATTTCGAATAATAATCATTTTCTCGGAACTTTATCAAGTTAAATGCAAAATTAATTATAGAATTAAAGCCTTCAAGTAATCTTTTTAGCTTTTTGTGTTGCAATGTTTGTATATAGGTACGTGTTATCAAGTTAATTTTCCCGTAAATTGCATGAAAAATTTGTTTTTGGGAAACACATACTAGAAAAAGTTTGAATAAATTTTTGATTTTTTTAAAATTTAGTTTCTTTTTAAGTACTCAATGGCGTCACTGTTTTGCACTGCTCATTGCAAATGCTTACTTTGCATATATAGTAGATCCGGCACTGTATGTATAAATTCATTTATAATAGACTATTTGACAGATTGATTTCTAATAAATGAATTACAAAATTCCAGTTCTATTAATATACGTACAGTCAATATTTTTGTTGTCATAATATTTTGCTTGTGCAACTTCCTCTTTATTTAAATTTAAAAAAAAATTTTTAACATTAAATTGATTTTAAATAATGTCATTGTAAAAAAATCCTTACTAAGTTATTCGAATTTTTGTATATTATAAGATTTTATATTTAAAGGCTATTAAGATTTTAAAAGTTATTTTAATGTTATTGTATATTGCTGCTGCCGCCGCCGTCACCATCACCGTCGATTTTTTTTTTCTTTTAAGGATAATATTTAGTCCTTTTTTTGATTTTCTTCAATTCCTTATAACAATGATTTATAATATTCTCATATACCCTCAAAGAATGATAGAAGAAGCTCCTATTTTATATTGTTGGAATCCTTTGTCATTAATTTAATATCGATTTCTGTCTTTTTGATTTTTAGGTAACCTGAGCGTTGTTACAACAAAAAAAATCATTAATATTTTGATTATCGGAATATCAAAAATGATTTTAAAGATTCTTGCCCTTTTCAATTTCCCATCGACAATTATTGTTCCTCATATCTAATTTTTTTTTGTTCTTCTTATTTATGATTTCCAAATGA